CTCAGGTCCCTTCCAACCCTACTAACTATGAAACTATGACACACACCCCACCCCACCCCAGCTTTGTGCTTTGACTGCTCCCCCAAGACTAGAGCATGCTTTCCCTGGGGCCTCAGACCACTCCTTAAGTCCGTACGGGGACAGGTGTTGCTGCTTGTCCCTTACAGGACTAATGCCAGAGCAGGGATGTATTAGGAGCTCTGCAGGATGTGACTGGCAACCCTGATCAAACTATGGACCGCATAACAACATTCTGCCCTTGATACAGATTTGACAGTGACATTGCAGAGATGCATTCCCTTTGCTCGAGAGCATTAGACTGATTAATTCGCCTTAAACTGCACCAAGTCAGCCATGCAAAAGAAGAAGAAGGGGTAATCTTTTGTTCCCTGTTATGGGCCAGTCAAGGGAGTTTTGCACTGTGGGTTCAGCAGCTCCACCTCCTGGCACTGTTCCTCAACTGATGCACACCGTCATGGCTCCAGTGAGCTCAGTGGAGCTGTAATGAGTCATAGAAGTGGATCTGCCCCTGGGCTGTACTCGAGCCTTTCCATTGACTTGGGGCATGAGTTAACCTCACCTTTGCTCAGCTCCCTCCCTCCTAAGGATTCACAGATGTTAAGGGCTGGAAGGGACCTTACAAGATCATCGGGTCCAGCTTCCATGCACTTGGCCAGGGAAGACTGCTGGGATCAGATGACCCCAGCAAAGTGGGCATGAAGATGCTTTTTGAAAATCTGTATAGAGAGCAGATAATCACCCCCAGAGCCTGCCTGGAGGATTAGCTTCAGCAAATCCCTTGAAGGCATTTTGCATAAAACTTTTATAGGGACACAGCTGATTACTTCACCGTTGTGACATCAGAGTTCCCTCACTGTGCTGGGTAACGTGCTCACCTGGGGAGGGGGCTTTGCGAGCTTCTCTTGTCTCTCTGCTTGTTTAGAGTTTGCGGGAACCGGCCCCCTTCTCGGATGAAATTGAAATCGATTACAGCAAGCCATATGCCAGAGTGACGTTTGAGGAAGCACTGAGAGGAACCCCATGTGAGTAACCCCTCACTGCAGACTGATGCGCTAACTGTGCATGTCTGATTTCTCCTGCCCCCAGCTCAGCCTTAGTTGTGGCAGGGGAGCATTCTACTGGGCTGGGTAGCCCTACTCATCCTAGTGATTAAGACAGCTGTTGTTACTAGGATTACACCAGTGCCTACACCTGTCGCTGAAACGGGCCTCATTCTTCCCACAGTGAGATCACTTGTGATCCAAGCAACTTACAGTCTCAGTAAACGCTTCCGACCACCTGCTTGAGTCCCTTCAAAGCCAGAGACTGCTGCAAAAAAGTATCAGGGCTAAGCATCTTTTGTACACTAGGGCCAGGGGTAGCTGAGAGAACAACCAGAGTCACAGAGACAGGAGGCATTTACAAGAAAAATAGCCTGACCTGAACAAGTGACTCCAAGAGCCAGCCCCAGCACAGAAGGTCAGCATCCCAGCTGGCTCTTGGAAATGCTCAGTGAAATGCAGCACAACCTTTGAAGGAATTTCAGTGAGCACAGCAGATCAGCCCCTCAGGAAGAAAGTAGCGCTCCTTTTACAGTCAGTTTTCCCAGTAGAACTGAGCCAGTGAGAGAGGAACAAGGTCTAGACAAGTGGTTTACTTCAGGAGGTGTTGGTAACCCCTACAGGGGGCATCAGTCCCCGCCCCCCCCATCTTACCAACCCATCTCGGAGACCCCTTTACCACCATAATGAAAATGCTAAAACCCCTGCACCTCTTTCAATAAACAGCAGTAGAGCAACTAGCAGCAAGCTTAGTCCCATCGTGATGTGTGAAGACCCAGCTTGCTGTCTCCCAAAGGAATTTCTGAAAGTCCCAGCACGTTACACAAGAACAGAAGTTCCAGCCTATGCCCTGTGGAAACCTGGCTGGTCACTTGATGCTGGTGGTTGCTTCTGTCCAAGGAAAGCTCTGGTCTGCCCTGGCTTAGGGCAGGGAGTGATCCAACAGATCCAGCAGCCTAACAGTACTGTGCCTAGCTGCTTCCCATGATCCCCCAGCTGGGTTTTACCATATAGCCTTGCACACCACGGAAGCAGGCAGTTTAAGAAGTGACTCTATAGCAGCCCCCTCTGGCTGATTTTAGGAGTCCTGTTAAGTTGGTTCAAAAGAGACTTGGCCCATCTTCTGGAGTCCAAAGATGTGGATGTTATTGTGAGCTTCCACCTCCAGGCACATGGGACTGAACTGAAGCAGGTGGGAAGTTGGGAAGGTCCTGAGGCTTCATCCTGGGAAGCTCATAAACAACTCTGATATCTCCAACAAGCCAGCCTGAGTAGCCAGGTACTGAGCAGGATGTCGCTGTTGTATTTTGATTTTCCAGTGGCCAAGGGGTTTGCCGTCTGCAATCCCCAGCGTTCCTTTTACACCAGGTTCCTTTTACATCATTGCCCCCACTCCAAGCGCTGGCCACACACATGCTGACCCAGGTTCACATTCAAACAGTCATTTTTGTAGCAACAGCCCTTGCTAGATCCTTCCAGCTGGGAAGCCAAGCCCATGCAGTAAGGTATGACTAAACACTGCTGTCCCTGGCCTGCTTGCTCATAACTGCCCATCTCTTTCTGTGCTCAGTGGATCGGCCAGTCAGGGTCTACGCTGATGGGATATTCGACTTGTTTCACTCCGGACATGCCCGGGCTTTGATGCAAGCTAAGAACCTCTTCCCCAACACATACCTCATTGTTGGAGGTAAGGTGTGATCTGTTACCTTAAGGGAACCTTCCCACATCTTCCCTATCCTTCTCCAGCAGGTGACACCCTGCTTTGGGCTCTCTGCCTTACAGGGCAGTCACGTGGCTGTGCCTCGCCCTTCAACTTTGAGTTCAGCTCGGCACAGCATGTGCGTGGGACACTGAGAGGCAAATAATAGGCCTGAACATAAAGATTAAATCCTGAAATTGTGAAATTGTTTCTGGGAGTTCCAACTGAGTTCACTGAACCTGTCGTCTCAGTATTGCATGCCAAGTGCTGGGCGGAGCTGAGCTGCTGAATACTGAGCCATAAAAAGAGGCGTTCGGCTACTATCTAAACCAAGAGCAGCAGAGGAGGGAGGAACTGTCTCTACATGTAGCTGAGCCAACGTGGGATGAGTTTTACTGTGAGAGTCAGTCTTAGCATTCTGCTGGCTTCACCTTGTAATGGTTTTGGGAGTTC